TAAGAGACAGCAGTTACTCTTTCTCTTTGAATTGTCACTAACCTGACAGTGTTTCCATGGTTAATTGTATAATTAGAGCTTTCTTGCTTGTCTCTTCAGGTACCTGATTGATGTTGAAGGCGCTGGCCGGTCTGCCTCGAAGTGACTTTGCGGAGATGATTCGTCAGGTTGGGGGGGTCAGGGTGCAGCGTGGGGGGGTCTGGAGCCTGTGGTCAGCCCCAGCCAAGCTGTTCAGCACCCCCTCTTTCCTCGCAGGGCAATGGCACCTTCAACTCCATCCCGGAGCTGGCTGTGGAGAGGATGGCGCAGGTCATCCAGGGTGAGTGGGATGGCCGGACCGAGCGGGGACACTCTCCGTGGGATGAATCCCAGTTTGGGGACATAGGGTGGGACACGGGGACCATCCACCCCTCCAGCATGGCCTTGACCCCGCAGATCTGCGGGACGAGATGGCCCGCATGACAGAGAAGGTGCAGTCCATCGCCGACAGCTTCCCCCTCCCCGACTACACCCAGCCGGTCAGCGAAGCCCTGGTGAAGGCGGAGGACAGGAGCCAGCCGTACCTCCGGGAGGTGGAGCGCTTCGAGCACTACAGGTGACACCCGGGAGCATGAAGGGGTGCGGGGAGGGCGGCAGAGATGGGTGCTGAGCTGGTGTATTGGCGCCGTATCTTGAGGCTGTGCCCTGCTGCTCTTTCCTCCAGGTGGATTGCGGGCACCGTGCTGTGCTCCATCATCCTCCTCATCCTCGCTTGCAACGTCACAGGGATGGCCCTGGGAGCGTATGGGCTCTCCAAGAGGGAAGACCCGAGCGACTACGAGTGCCGAGGAGAAGCTGGCGCCAAGTTTCTCCTGGTGTAAGCATCTCTCTGGGTGCTGGGGGGGCTGTTGCCATCCCCCCTGCCCCCCAAAAAAACCCAAAACAAAACAGAGGGGCAGAGGCAAGGGAGGGACCGGGAGCCAGCTGGACGGAAAGGCTTTTGAAGCCGCCGCCTGCGCCGGCGGGTGTGGGAGAAGCTGCTCCTCCCTGGGAGCTGGCAGCTCCCGCACCCCGGCCCGCTGCCCGGCACACCCCGCTCCCACAGGCCCTTCCCAGGCAGGCCAGCATGCCCGGGCGCCGGAGGGAGCCGCGGGGCAGCAGCCAGCCTGGCAGGTCCCCACAAGCCTTTCTGCCCGCTCGGGGCTGCAAAGCCACCACCGGCACCTCCTCTCTCTCTTCCAGCGGCGTGGGCCTGGCTTTCCTGTTCTCCTGGCTCCTCATCCTCTTGGTCTTTGCCACCTTCCTGGTTGGGGGCAACATCCAGACACTGGTTTGCAGAAATTGGGTCAATCAGGAGATTTACAAGGTGGGTGGCCATGCATCCACCCACTGCCCCACGAACCTCTGCTTGCGTGCACCGTGCCCGCAAACGCTCTGTGTCCTCCCGCTAAGCCCATTCAGAAAGGCCCCATCCTATACCAAAAGATTAAGTTTAGGATGAGGTCCTTGGATTTGCAACATCATCAGGGAATTGCCCTTGCACTGTTAATTCTCCCCCTCTGCTCTGCTCTGGGAGCCCCCCCTGCAGGGCTGGGTCCAGCTCTGGGGCACCAACAGCAGAAGGACACGGACCTGCTGGAGCGGGGCCAGAGGAGCCACGGAGATGCTGGGGGGGCTGGAGCCCCCCTGTGAGGACAGGCTGGGAGAGTTGGGGGGTTCAGCTGGAGGAGAGAAGGCTCCGGGGAGACCTTAGAGCAGCCCCCCAGGGCTGAAAGGGGCTGTGGGAAAGGGGGGGACACTCTTGATCAGGGGAAGGATAGGACGAGGGGTAACGGGTTTAAACTGACAGAGGGAGATTTAGATCCGATCTGAGGCAGAAATTCTCCCCTGTGAGGGGGGTGAGGCCCTGGCACAGGCTGCCCAGAGCAGCTGTGGCTGCCCCCTTCCTGGCAGGGTTCAAGGCCGGGTTGGACGGGGCTTTGGGCAGCCTGGGCTGGGGGAAGGTGGCCCTGCCCATGGTGGGGCGTTGAAACTAGATGGTTTTTAGGGTCCCTTCCAACCCAAACCATCCTGTGATTCTATGAATTCACTCAAGGGAACGATGCTCATACCTGCAGGACCCCTGTCCTGACCCCGGGGACCCCTGGGGTGCTCGGGGCCAGCAGCATGTTGTGGCGTGGCTGAGAGAGGGGTCAGGGCTCATCCCACGGCCATGCACACGCAGGCAGGGCCCTGCATGGGGCTGGCCACTGCTTTCTCTCCGAATACCACCCGAGGAGGGCAGAGCACCCCCAAAATAATTGCTGGGAATGCCTGTGCCCGACCCCTTTTTTGTCCCTTTTGGCACAGTTCATTGACACCCCTGGGAACCTGCCTCCATCCATGAACCTCACCCGCCAGCTCAACCTCAGGAGGGACTCCAACCTCAGTGCCGTGTACCGGTGGGTGCTGCAGGAGCCCGTCTCTGCCCCTGTACAGCAGAGGGATAATTTGGGATCATGCCACCCATGTCCCTTTGCCTTCCAGGGAGTGCAAGAGTGGTGCAGGGCTGTGGGAGGTGCTGCATCTCGAGAGGTCCTACGACCTGGATGAGCATCTAAAGTCCCCCAAGGTGAGGGCTGGCTGCAGCCAGAGCTTCTGGTAACAGTGTAAAGATGCATGAGCTTTACTGGGGTTACTGGGACGGCAGTGCCTGGCCCCAGCCCCACAGCGTCCCCCACATCTTGCACCCACAGTACACAGCTGATTTCCAAAAACGCCTGGGCGACTTCACGGCGCGCCTGGGTGACGTGCGGCTCCTCCGCAGCGAGGGCAGGCAGGACCTGGAGACCTTCGCCCACAGCGGCGTGGATGAAGTGGACTATAGGCGCTTCCAGGAGGAGGTGAGGGGTTGATCGCAGGGAGCTGGTCCCCCCTGCGGTGGGCAGGATGTGGCCCAGCCACTCCAGAGCCAGCTTCCAGGGCTGGTTTTGGTCAACCAACTCCGTCTTCCCCCAGATGAAAAACCCCGTGGTGCAAACCAGCCTCTCCGGCTTGGCGAGAAGCCTCGAGGGGCTGCAGAAAATGCAGGTGAGCACCGGGGCAGGTGGTGGGGGCTGCTGTGTGCCCACGGGAACGTCCTTACCCCGCTGTCCTCCCACAGAGGAACAGCACAGTGGCAGAGCGGCTGGGCGCTGAGGCCCGGGCCCTGTGGCAGGTGCAAAACTCCACAGTGCAATCACAGGAGGCTTTGGTGGTGAGTCCGTGAAGGGCTGGTGGCACGTAGTTCTGCCAGCGTTTGCCCAGGTATCCCTGTGAAAGGGGCAACAGGGCTTTTGCACCCTTCTCACCAACCTGTCCTGCAGGCAAAGATGGGGGAAAGCGTCCAGTTCCTCTCCCGCTTGGCGCCGCATCTCCAGGTATTTGTGCAGTTTCTTCCAGCTCTGAAAAATACGTGGTGTTCTATGGGTCCTGCCTGCCAGTGCCCCAAAAATCCAGTTACAGGGTGATGGGAGAGCCAGGAAAAATGCCACACGGGGGGAACCGGTCTCCGTTAGTATTTAGATTTGCTGCTGTAAATCAGAAATCCCCCTGCAGCACTCTCAGCATTTCAGTGTCCCCAGCAGAGCCGTCCCATGGTGTTTAACCTCACTTGCTCCCTGCTGGGAGGTTTCTCTGCTCAGGGTCCCCCTTTCCCTGCCCTCTGGCAATAAGACCCACTTTGAAGCCTGGCATGTGCACAGCGCTGCATGCCATGCTCCCAACATCCCTGGGGCACCTGTCCTGCTGCTCGGTGCTCTAAGGATGCTCTGCCCTTCCACATCATTCCCCAGGAGCGGGTGAAGACAACACTGGCCACCATAGCCTCGGTGGAAGCCCGGCTACCTGTGCAAGCCCAGCAGATACTCCGGCAGGTGAGCCAAGGGGGATACAAAATTCCCCACAACCAGCAAGAAAGAGAGAGAACAGAGCGCTGCAAGAGGGAAAGGGGCACCTGAAGCCTTCAGCCCCCATTTCCAAGCCCAGCATTAGCCCAGAGCTGGTTGGAGTGGGGCTGGAGCTGTGCTGGGAAACGCAGCACCAGCCCTCCACACTGCCTTCCCTCTGCCCAGGAGATCGGCTGCTTCACGAGGAAGGAGCTGCGGTACTTCGCACAGTACCTGAACTGGGTTGGGCAGACGGTAGGTGTTTGTGGGATTCTTTGGGGCCGGGAGCCCTCATGGCTGCTGCGTGCAAGCCCCTCGCTGAGCCGAGGCAGCAAGATGCATCCCCCGAAGCCAGGAGTGGGTTTATGCCTTGTCTCCACCTCTTGTTCCAGCTGAGGGAGGATGTGGCTTCGTGCCAGCCGCTTGCCACGGCCCTGGACAACGGGCGGGTGATCCTGTGCGACCGCATCGCTGACCCCTGGGTACGGATCCCGTCCCTGTCCCTGCAGAGGGGTCTGGCAGGGACCTTCCTGGTGCAGCATCCCATCATAACCCAGCATGAATACAGGGCAGCTGGGGCCGAGAGCAGCCCTGACACCCCCACACCAGCAGGAGCAGCCACCGCAAGGCTCCCCAAGCCCCTCCAGAGCCTGGGGGCTGCCTCTCCCCACGCAGCTCAGTGGGGATTCTCGTGCTCTCTCCTTGCAGAACGCTTTCTGGTTCAGTCTGGGATGCTGCACCTTTTTCCTTATCCCCAACATCATCTTTGCCGTCAGGCTCACCAAACACTTCCGCCCCATCCGCAACCGGCTCATGTAAGCGGCGGGCACGGGGCGGGCAGGCGAGCTGCTGGGGTGGGAGGATGCAGGGAGGGGAGATGGGGGCTCTTCCACCCCCACCCCCCCAGTGTTTTTTCCTTCTTCTGCAGCTCTACAGGTTCAGAGGAGACCTGTCCCTTCCACATCCCCCGTGTCACAGCACTCAAGCTCTAGGATGGGGGTCTGCAGGGTGCAGTGGCATGCCCTGTACCCCAAGAGTTCCCATCAAACTTGTGCCTAAGCATCGCAGGACTCCAGGTCCCTCTGATGTCTTTCAGGGCTCTGGGTCCCTCCAACGTCTCTTCCTCAGTGTCCTTCAGGGTCTGAGCTTCCTTTCCAGGTGCGGGGCACACATCTCCATGTGCCATGGGGCTCTGGGTCCCTCTGATGTCTCTTCCTCAGCCACCTTTGGGGTCTGGTCACCCATCAGAGAGGGATGCTTCCAGAGCCTGGCTGATCTAGGGCGCAGGGGAAGGTTCCCCGCAGCTCCTGCTAGCTGCTGGCGTACCCCTCGCAGACCCCACAGCGAAGGACGCCCGACTGCTGCCCCACGACGCTTCCCCACACTCGGAAACCCCGGGCAGTGGGCACATTAAAGTCCTCCCCAGCCAAACTGGGCACCGCCTGCTTTGTTTGATGGGCAACATCTACCCCCAGCAGGGCTACAGGCCTGGGGAGCTGCCGGTCAGAGAGGGACTGGGGGGGTGAGAATGAGCCAGAGTGTGCCCAGGGGGCCAAGGAGGGCAACGGCATCCTGGCTTGTGTCAGCACTGGGGTGGCCAGCAGGGACAGGGAAGGGATCTGAGCCCTGGGCTCGGCACTGGGGAGGCCGCCCCTCGCTGAGGGGGTTCAGTTCTGGGCCCCTCACCCCAAAAAGGCCATTGAGTGACTCGAGCGTGGCCAGAGAAGGGCAACGGAGCTGGGGCAGGGTCTGGAGCACAGGTCTGCTGGGGAGCGGCTGGGGGAACTGGGGGGGTTCAGTCTGGAGAAGAGGAGGCTGAGGGGAGACCTCCTGGCCCTCGGCAACTCCCTGCCAGGAGGGGGCAGAGAGGGGGGATGAGTCTCTGGAGCCAAGGCCCCAGCGCCAGGCCCCGAGGGAATGGCCTCAAGCTGCCCAGGGCAGGGTCAGGCTGGCTCTGAGGAAGGATTTCTGTGCAGAAGGGGCTGTTGGGCGTTGGAATGGGCTGCCCAGGGCAGGGGGGAGTCCCCGGGATCCCTGGGGGGGTTGAAGAGTCGGGCTGAGCCAGCGCTGAGGGATCTGGGGGAGCTGGGAACGGTCAGGGGGAGGGTCATGGCTGGGCTGGAGGAGCTGCAGGGGCTTTTCTAACCCCGAGGATTCTGTGATCTCCCCCGTTTTCCGCGGGTTCAGGCCCTGGGTGTGGGTGGCAGCCCCGAGAGGCAGCAGGCCCGGCCTAGCCCAGGCCATCTGCTCCCACGGGACGCCTCCAATGCGCCGGGATCGGTGACCATGACCTGCCCCGTGGCCGTGCCAGGCCTTCCCTTGGGAGCAAGGCTGCGTCCGAGGGGCCCAGGGCTGAGAGCAGGCCGTGGCCGAGGGCGCTCTGGGGCTCGGGGCCAGGCAGCACAGCTGAGGAGACGCCGGGGTCGGGCGGACTCGAGGCCTGCTGAGGCTGAGGGGAGGCTGCAGCTCGGGGAGCTCCAGCGCCTGGGGGGCTCTGAGGCCGGGACCTGAGGAGGTGGCTGGGCCAGGGCCCAGATACCAGGTCTGGGCCTAGGGGACTCCCATCTCCAGCCCCCCAGAAACACAACACACATAACCCCACTCCGGGGCTGGGGGCACTCCTGGGCCTCAGCTGTTAATTAGAGCTTAATTAGAGGCAGGATTTCAGGGGCAAAGCTGCAGGTTAAGGGGTGTGGTACGGGTCGTTTCTGGCTCTTCCCCCCGTCTCCCCCCAGGGAAGCCCAGGCAGGGCCTTTGGCTCCCAGTTTATTGCATCAATGACTTTATGGAATGAAACGCCAGATTTTCATTCATATCCTTCCTCCTCTGATCTCTAAGTGCTTTGTCCAACCAGCAAATTATTTACAAAATCTATACGTGAATTAGCAGATGAGACCCTTCCAAGCAGATGAGGATTTCCCAGTATTTCCCTCACTGAAATACTCCGTTTGCTAACCAACAGAGAAATGCCCCATATTTATGCATTATTGAAAGGCTATTGCTACCCACAGCCAGCAATAATGAGTGAAATACCTGGTTTATGCATTATTTAGGTTATTGCTGCCCAGACCCAGCTGGCTTTACGCAGTATTTGCCTGCAGAGGTCAGCATTGCAAAGGCTTTTTGCAAAAGGGATTTGGGGAGCTGAAGCCCAAAGGAGGATTTCTGCAGGAACCCCCAGTGCCCAGGAATGTCCTCAGCCTATCTGGAAACTACCCTGTGGTGTCATCTGCAAAAATCAGCTTCAAAATGGAGTATTTTGTGTTCAGAGGAAGGTTGGTGGTGGGGAGAGGCAGGGTTGTGGAGAAGTGACGTTGGTACCTGGGATTCGTTCAGAAAATAAATCCACAACTCTTCTGCACCCGGCTGGGTATAATCTGAAGGTTTACAGTCATGAAATTCTGAGATAATTAAAAGAGAGAGGTCTGCCTCGTTTTTATAAGCCCCTCTCAACAGTAGTACTACATTTTAAATAAAATAATACCCACTATGTGGTGCCAAAGAGCAAAGGGATTATCTGCTTTAAAAGGTAAAGTAACATAAATGCATTAATATTTGTTTAGCTGGTCCATTGGTTAAAAAAGATCCAGGGTTGCAAGCAAACATGCCCAATTCAGCTGGCTCTGCTTCCTAAAGATAATTCTTGTAGCTGGGTCACAATAAATAACAGATAAACACACAGATAAGTAATGAATAACAGATGAGTTCACTCCAAACTAGATGCATATTATATTATGTAATATCTCTGTTCCGTGCCTGGGAGGTAGATGGATTAAAAATGTGAGCAGTTGCCTCTCTGAGTTGATAGTAAATCACCAATGAATAATCCAGAAACTTGTCCTAAACCAACTGGGGGGCACTTTATTTTTCAGGAAAACAACAAAAAAAGAGGGCAAGCTGGATTCCTCACCTAAAGCAAGGTCACGGTTTATGATTAACGCAGGGGCCAAGTGGAGAGGCTGGAAGTTCGCTTCCCCAGCAGCGGGGGCACAGCGCTGTGACCACCCGCACGGGTCAAGGGCACTCATCCCGCCTGACCCCCAGGGCTGGGTGGCGGGTCCTCGTCTGAGAGCGAAGGCTGCAGCTCGGGCTGGGGGCTCCTCACCATCTGCCCCAGCGCTGGCCGATGTCTCCGCTCAGATGGAGCTGCTGAAGGGAGAGGCTGCGGTGCAGACCTCAGACTGCGGGAAGTGCCCAGACCCTTCTCCTGGGGCAGGGACAGGCAGCAGGTCTGCCTGCAGGAGGTGTGCCCAGGTGGAGGGTGTCCTGCAGCAGGCAGCGAGAGGGCTGCGTAGCATCAGGGAAGCTGAGGAGGAGTTAGACGATAGCTGGTTCCAAGCGCAGCCTGCAGCGGACCCACAGCCCACGGCCAAACGGCCAAAAACTCCCCCACTGGCACACACAGAAGGGAGCCGGGCCAATAATGCAGAAGAATAGAATCTTACAAGGGCGAGGATCTGCGGGAGAAAGAGGCTTCTCCAGAGCCTGAGGTACCTTTGCAAAACCACTTCACCGCTCTGCAGACTGAAGAGGAAAGACAGGAGAGATGCTGGAGCTGAGTCGGGCAGTCGGATCTGCTCTCCACGGAACAACCAGCACGACTAAGAAAAGGTGACAGGTTATAGTGGTAGGTGACTCTCTTCTGAGGGGTACAGACCCGATGCACCAGGGAAGCTGTGGCTGCCCCCTCCCTGGAAAGGTTCAAGGCAGTGGGATGGGGCTTTGGGCAGTATGGGCTAGTGGAAGGGTCCCAGCTGCTGACCGACTCTAGAGAGATGTGCTGCTTACGGGGGTTCATGTCAGGGACGTCACCGAGAGACTGCTGAGCCTCATACAGCCCATTCTCCACTGCTGTTCTTTCACACAGGCATCAGTGATACAGCCGGGAGAAGCCTGAGGAGTATCAAGAAGGACTACAGAGCCCTGGGAGGGCTCCAGACACCTCCAGAGACTCTGGAGGGCAGGTAGTTTTTCGTCACTCCTCCTAGTCAAAGGGAAGGGGTTTGAAAGGACCATTTGAGTTTGAAAGGACCGTTTGAATCTGGCAAATCAACAGTTGGTTACGGGACTGGTGCCACAGCCAGAGGTTCAGCGACTTAGGCCATGGGACTCGCTTTGAGACACCTGGTCTACTGGGGGCTGATGGGGCCCATCTGTCAGACGAGGGGAAGAGCATCTTTGGACATAAACTTGCCAAGCTGGTGAAGAGGGCTTTAAACTAGAGTTGCCAGGGGAGAGGAACTGCAATCCATCCCATGTTATAGTGGGGGTCTGCCACAGGCCACCCCACCAGCAAGACTGAGTGGATGAGGGCCTCTCTAGACAGACAGGAGCAGCCTCACGTTCACAAGCCCTGGTCCTCGTGGGGGACTTCAACCACCCTGGTATCTGTTGGGGGGACAACACAGCAGCACATAAGCAGTTCAGGAGGTTCCTGGAATGCCTGGATGAGAACTTCCTTCTCCAAGGGATAGAGGAGCCAAGGAGGAGCGGTGCCATGCTGGGCCTTGTTCTCACCAACAAAGGGGGGCTGGTGGGGAGTGTGAAGCTCAAGGGCAGCCTTGGGTGCAGTGACCATGAAATGGGGGAGTTCAGGGTCCTTAGGGCAGTGAGGAGCTCGCTGCCCTGGACTCAGGAGAGCAGCCTTTGGCCTCTTAGGGATCTGCTTGGCAGAGTAGCGTGGGATAAAGCCCTGGAGGGAAGAGGGGCCCAAGAAAGCTGGTTAATACTCAAAGATCATCTCCTCCAAGCACAGGAGTGACGCATCCTGACAGAGAGGGAGTCAGGTAAGAACGGCAGGAAACCTGCGTGGATGAACAAGGAGCTCCTGGGCAAGCTCAAACACAAAAAGGAAGCCTACAGATGATGTAATCAAGGTCAGGGAGCCTGGAAGGAATACAGAGAAACTGCCCAAGCAGCCAGGGATCAGGTTAGGAAGGCCAAAGCCCCGAGAGAGTTAAATCTGGTCAGGGCCATCAAGGGCAACAAGAAAAGCCTCTACAGGCACGCCAGGGATAAAAG